AGAGAGAGAGAGAGAGAGAGAGAGAGAGAGAGAGAGAGAGAGAGAGACGTTTTGCTTCCTTAGCCTGGTAGCTTTTTGGAGATACGGTTTGGTCATTGTTAACAGTTAAACGGAAAAACTGGATCCGTTGTCAGGGAAGACTTGTAGAGGGATGGACAGGCAGGGGAGTCAGCCGTCCTCAGCGAGGAAGTGCCGAACGCAGGCCAACGCCCAACCTACTTCCTCGAACAAGGTGGAAGGTAACTTCCCAAATAAATATGGTGTGTTAAGAGGAGCCAAAAAGGAATATTGCCCCGGAAGCTGTCTTCACATATCCTCATTCCAACAGTCAGCATACAAATAAAGAAATAAAATTTAATTCATGAAGGTTGGAATTAATGAAATTAGTGATTTCTTGCATTAAAAAGAATTCACTTCCCATCTTGAATCCTCTTCCACTGGGCTCTCTTTGATTAAATATGGCAAGCAAAGTGTGTAGCCTAGAGACACTCTGACTAATTTCCTCTGGTGACTGCCTGCAAGTAAGAGAAAAAGAAAAAGTTAGGACCAAGTAAATACACTGTTACCCCTTCCCCCACTGTAGAATACATCTGCATGTGTTCTAAAAACCTGTATGACAGTACTTGAAATGATACTGTCAAATGATGGTGAGAATATGTTGAAATCCCTTATCACAGCAGATAGAAGGTAAATTGTTACAACTTTTTGGAAAGCAATTTTGCAATACATTTCCAAGGCATAAAATGTTTCGTCACTCAAAATGTTCTTATTGTTCTGAACCTTGTGATAAAGGAGTCCCATTTCTTAGAATATGTCCCAAGGAAATTGTGGTAGACTCTGGGTCTAAAGTTGTCTCTTGTCTAGCAAGAGAGTGGCACACAGGATGAGAAACGAGAAATGGTTAATGTCCCGGACAAGACAAGAGCCCGGAACAAGGGGCCTTGCCCCATTTTTATTAGGATCAGAAGGCTTACAAACATGGTGATGGACGTGATGGACGTGCACAAAGAGACAATGAATCTGTGAACGTTCACTTGGGGATGTGAGGGAAAGGGGGGTCTTGAAGATATTTGGGGTTAGGGTTTTGTGTTAATTACAAAACAAAATCTGGGTGCCAGGCAGTTGGGAGGAAGGTTGTTTACAGCAAACATGAGGCAGCACCTCTGTTTATCTTAGCTAGCCTAGGGGGATGAGGCAGATAGGGGAAATAGCCTTAGAATTGACAAGGCACCTTTTCTTTTGTTAACCATCCCTACTCTGGGCAGCTTCACCTGCTGCACAGAGGTCCATAGTCCAATTCACCAATTTACCTAACCTGGCCCTATCCTCCTATGAAAGCAGCTTTTCTGCCATAGTACTAAATTGGGAGTGCTTCCACCCTGAACATCTAATCTTGTTTATTTCATATACCTATGTATTAGGCACCCTTGTGCCCATTCCTATTTTAGGACTTTGCCCCTTCCTTTCTATTCTGGGGGCTCTGCACCCCCTCTCTATTTTGGGGTGCATTTGCACCTCCCTATTCTTGGGGTGCAAATCTGGTTTGCCCAAACCCAGGTGTGAGCATTTTATGGCCTTGTATTTCTTTATGCCTTGTTAACCCATTGGTATAAGCCTGGAGCATTCCTAAACTTATCCCCTACAGGAAATACCCACAAAAAAGGGAAATGCCATATGGACGAAGTTACAGGTTTATTACAGCATTATTCATAAAGTAGAAAATAAACAGACTTTCAGTGGAATGTTGGCAAATAAAATGCAACATTATTATAGATTACAAAATTGTAATTTGATTATCAGCATTTCAAATGACATTTATGTGTACATGATGTATTCGTCCACCGGCTGCCATATTGAAGCCCACAGACTGAGCGGCTAAAACAACAGAAATGTATTGTCTCACAGTTCTAGAAGCTGGAAGTCCAAGAACCAGTGTCTGCAGGGTTCTTCCTGTGAGGGCTGTGAGGAGAATATTTCAGACCTCCCACCTAGCTTCTGGTGGTTCAGTGGTAGGTTTTGGCTTTTCTTGGCTTGTGGAAATATAATCTTTGCCTTCATGTTCACATGGTGTTCTCCCTGATGTCCAAATTTCCCCTTTTTATAAGGACACTAATAATATTGAATCAGGACTCATCCTAATGACTTCATCTAAACTTAACTGATTACATCTGCAACAACCTATTTCCAAATAAAGTCACATTCTGAGGTACTTAGGGTTAGGACTCCAACATATGATTGGGGGAGTGGCTGGAAAAGGGCAGATTCAGCCCATAACAGATAATAACAAAAACAGACAATGTAGTAGGTTGGTAGGTTAAATAGTGACTCCCAAAGATATGTCATGGTGCAAATCCCAGGGTCCCATAAATGTTACCTTATTTGAATGAAAGGGTCTCTGTAAATGTAATGCTAAAGATCTTGAGAGTAAATCATCCTGGGTTATCCAGGTGGGCCCTAAATCCCATAGCAAGTGCCTTGATAAGAGAAAGACAAAGGAAGATTTCCAACCTGGAAATCTGTTGGAAAAAGAGATATAAAGAAAAGGCAGAGATTGGATGAGGCAAAACAAACAAACAAAAATGAAGACCAAGGAAAGGAAGGAATGCTGACAGTCACTGGAAGCTGGAAGACAAAAGGTAGGATTTCCCCCTAGAGCATCTGCAGGGAGCATGACCCACACCTTGATTTCAGACTTCTAGCTCCAGAACCGTGAAAAGAAATCAGCTCTTGTGGTTTAAGCCACCCAGTAAGTTATTACAGTAGCCCTAGGAAACGAATATAAGAATGTGTTTGTGGTAGAATGCTACATATTTGCTTTTTTGTTTTTTCTTAAAAGAGAGATACATGCATCAAGACCTTTTCAAGTGGAGCATCCTGGTGGCTCAGTCGGTTAACTGGCCGGTTCTTGATTTTGGCTCAGGTCATGATCTCATGGTCATGGGATTGAGCCCTGTGTCAAGCTCTGTGCTGAGCCTAGATCCTGCTTAAGAGTCTCTCCCTTTCTCTCTACCCCTCCCCCACTCGTGTGCCCTCTTTCTCTCTCTCAAAAAAGATAAAATTAAATTAAAAAATAAAATTATAAAAAAAGACCTTTCAAGTGGGTATTTTAATAGAGTTATCTTAAAATTCTCATTCACTTTTGAAGGAATAGGCAGGGGACATGCTAATGACTTCATCATCTTGTGAAGTAAACCCTCCAGTAGTCTCAAGTGCAGCTAAAACTACAAAGTGTTCTGATTTGGTGAAATGTGTTTTTTGTTCTGGACCCTCACACATGGTGCACGTACAATTCCTGCTAATACAAATTCAGCTCCACGCCAGTTTGATTAGAAGCCAGTCTTCAGCGTTTTATCTCAAATTCACTGTTGCTGATGGTCAATGTTGAGACATAGGCTTTTACAAGACTGACCTCTACTTTCAAAGCCTTTTCTCCCTCACCATTGCTCAGTGACTTGCCATTTTATTCAACCCCATAAAACCAATGTTTCTTTGTAAATCTTCCTGGAATTTTCTGTTTATAATGCCAAATACTTACAAAATCTGCCAAACCAAAAATAATATGTCAGATCATTCTAATGACACTGTAAAGTGGGAGGTTGAGAATAAACAAATGTTCCAAAAGAATGCTATCTCTTTAAACACATGCTGTTTCTGTTGACTAATAGTATTAAGGATGCAGACATTTGATTTTTATCTACAGTAGAATCATAAAAATACCGTGTTCTGGAACTAGAAAGCTAGTCCTTTGGGCCCACTATCTTACCTTGGAGTGGAAGCCTAGACTTTATGTCTTGTCTATGGTCGCTGTGTTAATTTTCCATTGCTGCGTGGCCAATCACCAGAAACATAGTGCTTTAAAACAATACCCATTTAGGGGCGCCTGGGTGGCGCAGTCGGTTAAGCGTCCGACTTCAGCCAGGTCACGATCTCGCGGTCCGTGAGTTCAAGCCCTGCGTCGGGCTCTGGGCTGATGGCTTGGAGCCTGGAGCCTGTTTCCGATTCTGTGTCTTCCTCTCTCTCTGCCCCTCCCCCGTTCATGCTCTGTCTCTCTCTGTCCCAAAAATAAATAAACGTTGAAAAAAAAATAAAAAAAAATATTAAAAAAAATTAAAAAAAAAAACCCATTTATTATCTCAAAATTTTGTAGGTCAGTCATCCAGACATGAAGTGACTGGGTTCTTTGCTCAGGGTTTCACAATGCTGAAAGCCCAACGTCAGCCTGGACTCTGATATGCTTTGTGACTGGGGTCCTCTTCCAAGCTCCTCATTGGTTGTTGACAGGGTTTAGCTCCTTGCAGCTATAGGTCTGAGGGCCCTGTTGTTGTTGT